TCATTCATCGTCTCAACATTTATTTTCCACTTTCTTTTTGCTTCCACTTCTCATCATCTTGTGTTCTTGTTTGTTGGTTGATCTGTCTTCCTTCCATCGAGAGAGTCGGGTTTCTCCTGTGCCTGTTTGCCCACTCCACCACCACCAGATCAGTCCACCTTCAATTACCTTCTTCACCTAAATCACATCACCATTCATTCACCAGTGCCTTTTAGTCTCTACCCTGTGCATTTGATCAGTTATTATCTATCACCACCTTCTTTTTACCCTTCTTCAAATTCACTCCCAGTGACCTTCACCCTCCTCCTGCTGTCATTGCACTGCCACCATCACCCCTCATTTATTTCTTTTATTTCTCCCCTTTTTCTTCATTGTCTTTCTCTCCTTTCACTACTTCTTTTTCTTTTTCTTCTTCTGCAAACATTCTTTGCATTCTTGGTGTTGTTCATCTCCTCTCTGCTCAGTGAACTCAGCATCAGCAGCAGCAGCAGCCTGTGTGCGTGTCTATTTTCAAACCTCCCTCGGCAACAGTTTTTATACTCTTTCTTTGCCGTTACTGTTCTTCGCTCCGTAATCTGACTCTCCGTTTCGCTCCCTCTGTCTGTGCCAAAGTGTCTTCTTGGTACCACCTCGGTGTTCAGTAACTTTCACAACTCAGTGTCTCAGTGTATGTGCTGATCCCTGTTTTATGTTTTTTTGTTCAGTGTCTATGTTCTCTATGTTGAGTTTAGAAATTCTGTAATTCTTGGATCGATTTATTGACTCACTGTCAGGTGGGGAGTACCCCTGACCAGAGGATTTTTGTAGTGATGTCGAGGTAAGAGGTGTGACTGTGTGATTGTGTGTGTGTGTGTGTTTGTGTGCTCGAATTAAAGTGAAGGCTCTTCCTCACTTTTCTAGCTTCAGTTTTTTCTTTTCTTTGCCGGGTGAACAACTCTTTGAGTAAGGCTTTCTCTCGTTTTCTTTACTTGATGACACTTTGNTGTCGAGGTAAGAGGTGTGACTGTGTGTGTGTGTGATCGTGTGCGCGTGTTGAAGTGAAGGCTCTTCCTCACTTTTCTAGCTTCAGTTTTCTTTTCTTTTGCCGGGTGAACAACTCTTTGAGTAAGGCTTTCTCTCTTTCTTTACTTGATGACACTTTGCTTGATGACTCAGTGGTATGGTCTGCTTGATTTATGGGCGCGCACATAGACTGATTCAGGGTTGAGTGCTGCTTCAGTAGTAGTAGTAGTTCTCTGCTGGTGATTGGCCATGTGATGCTGCTGCCTACTACACCACCCCATCACACCACTGCTTTTATTGGCATTTTATGGGCCAGTGCCCTTTGATTGATTGCCCTTTGTCTGTCTGCTTGCACAGGCTTACTTTACTGGATGGCTCTGTCTTTGCTTTGTCTCTCGTGCCACCGCCACTAACTGACTAACTAACTAACTGTGCACTAGACTTGGAAGTCTAGTTTATCTGCTGCAGCGCAGTGAATCGCTGAGTTCTGTTGCAGTTCTGTTTTGGTTCGATGTCCCGACGACGACGAGGATGATGATGATGTGCTGCTGCTGCTTTTCCTGCGGTTAGGAGCAAGGAGGAAAGAGATTGCCAGAAAGCTCGCTTTCTTCGCTTTCTTCACTCTCCTAACCCATATTTGCTCTCGGTGTCTCTCTCAGAGGAGAGCATCTGTTTGAACATGTCTGATTCTGTGTCTGTGTTCTCGCTCGCTCGCTCGAACTGTGTGTGCTTGAAATTGAAAACCGTCCAAAAAATGCAGCATCTCTTTCTCTCTCTCTCTCGTTTCGGCATTGGGCGTCTGCTCTGCCGCCGCCGCTGCTGCATCAGCACACAGCTCCCCACACCACACCACCACAGCACAGCCGAATCCGTAATTGGCAGCAGTGGTTTGCAGCCTGCTGTAGCAGTAGCACAGTTGAACATGGGCGACAGAATTGAGCAGGCAGGCAGGGAAGGGAAGAGGAGGAGGAGGAGTGCACTGAGGATGCGATGAGTTCTGCTTTGCGTGTTTTGCTGTCGTTGCCGGTGCAGTGGATGCTACGGCTGCTGATGCTGGTGGACAGTAAAATTAGCCAGCTCAGCAGAAGTCGTCTCTAAGCAGTAAGCAGTGCAAAACTTGGAGACTGAAGAGAGTCTGAGGATTGAGAGCAGACTAGGAAAAAGAGAGAGATTAGCATCATCACCACTTGTATAGTCAATTAGTGACTATTAGTAGTAGTGCTGGGGAGAGAAGAGAGGGAAGACTGGAAAGAGACTGCTGATCGATCATCTGATTGACAGCGATAGGACAAAGTAAGAGAGAGAGAGAGAGAGAGCAGGAAGAGGAGGGAGGGAGGGAATATTCTGCTTGGGAGCTTTTGTAGTGCGAATTTAAGTGTGACTTTGCCTGACTCTTACTGTGAATGTGTCGCAGAATCTCTCTCACTCTCACTGTCGATTGCCCGATTTGGCACGGCAATTTGTTGTCGCACGGCTCTGTGCTGTGCCTGTGATCTCCTCCTCGGTTTTGTTGGTTTTCATAGGCAGAACTGAACCAAACTGAACCGAACTGAATGGTAAAGGGACCGATGTTATTTTGTGGCAGTGAAGCTGCTGCCGGTGAGAGGAGATATTTATGGATGATAATTAATTGGCATGACTGAGCGAGTGAGTGAGTGGCAGAGCACAGGGCACAGCACAACACAGCTTTGACGGCGGCACCCACGCTTCTCATGCTGGTGCACCTCGCTGAAAAATTGCATTGGGAAATTGGTAAAATGCTGTGTGTTTTCTCCACTTTTTTTTCCAAACGGGCGAATCGACTGCTGAATTCTCCTCTCCTTATCATGCTCCACCGAATTCGGTGCCAGCACACTATTTCTTGGTCGATTGCTCTTTATGAGAGGGCTGCTGCTGCTGCTCCTTCTGCTGTACAGTTTTTTCTTGCAGCTTTCTGCTCTTGATTGGGTATTGGCGTTTTATTGGCGGAACTGCCATCAGCGGAACGCCCCCTAGGGGAAGGGGAATAGAGAGCACTTGTTGCAACCAGCGCATTTGATGTGTGTTGGGCTTGCTATCAAATGCTGTTTTGGTAAACTCGGTGAGCAACAGCAGCCACAGCTTAGCCTATTTACTGCCATTTCAAGGGCACTTGAGCGCACCATCTTTTTAATTCACTTGGTGATTATGTGTGTGTGTGTGTGTGAGTGTCTGTGGCATCCAGTTTCCAGTTGGGGTGCACTTTCCTACTTTTCCTCTTTTTTCAGTGCACAGTCCTCAGTTTGAGTACACTGACTGAGTCCTCACTGACGAGAGGATGTGCTGTGGTAAAGGAAATATTTGGGTGTAACTTTTTTCTTGTTGGTTTTTGCAGTCTGGCTGGCTGGTTAGAGCAACAAAACACACACACTCACTTGCTTACTTTGCGGTGTGTGTTTGTGTTTCTATGTGTGTATGTTGTTTATTTGCTTCCTTGTTTCCTCACTGGATGCTTTCAGGAGCGGTCTCAGCTCAGCTTTCTTCTCTAGTCTCGGTCTGTCTGCCTCCCTCACTCACTGTCTCGAGTTCTCTCGCCCTCTTGGCGAATTAGCAGTTTGATGATTGATATCAAAGAGAGGTGGTGGTGGTGGGGGAGAAACGGTGGCGATTGAAAGAATGTGCAAGTCTGAGAATGCCGTAGACGCTGAATCAGAGCGCCTGTGCGTGTTTATACAGCATCCTAACAGGATTTTCTGTTGAGTTTGCCACTTTTGGTTCCCCCTCTTGTGTGGTGTGCTGTGCTGGACGCGTTGATGTCCTCCTACTTCTCTCTCATTTCTCTTTGATGATTCAAGAAAAATGCCAGTGAATCAATCCTACTCTTTCCCTAAAGTTGCATCAGTTGGCAACACACATTTTTACCATTTCCCCACTTAGCTGAACTAACTCATCTTAACTTTTTCATTTCCCCGCACACACGTTCAGTCAACGAGACGGCATCTCGCCGACCTTTGAGAAGAAACCTGCCATCCGCCAGGCGGAGGACGGTCGCGTCCTCTTCTTTGAGTGCCTCATCCAGGCGGACCCGAAGCCGGACGTCCACTGGTTCCACAACAACGAGCAGATCAACCTCGCCGGCCGCTTCTCTGCCACCCTCGAACTAGTGCCCGGTGGTGGTGGCAGTGTGAAAGGGTCAAGGAAGGGAAGTCGAAGAAGCAGTGGAAACGGAGGCGGTCAAACTTACAAGTCCGTCTTTAAGATCACCGACGTGAACGTCACCGACGCGGGCAAGTACCGCGTGGTGGCGAAGAATGAGCTGGGCGAGAGCAACGCCAGCATCAGTTTGAACTTTGATGGTAAGTGGGCGGCGTTCTGATTTGCACTTTTGATAAACATGACTAACTTTTTCTTTCCTCTCTTTCCCCTCTCCTTCTCAGACGACGAGAAGAGCAACGACTCGGGCGCCAAGCCGACCTTCACCGAGAAGCCGCTGATCAAGCAGGCCGAGGATGGTCGTCGCATTACCTTTGNGTGGGCGGCGTTCTGATTTGCACTTTTGATAAACATGACTAACTTTTTCTTTCCTCTCTTTCCCCTCTCCTTCTCAGACGACGAGAAGAGCAACGACTCGGGCGCCAAGCCGACCTTCACCGAGAAGCCGCTGATCAAGCAGGCCGAGGATGGTCGTCGCATTACCTTTGAGTGCCGCCTCGTCGCCGACCCACCGCCCACCGTTGACTGGCTCCAAGGAAGGACGCCCATTAAAGCCGACAGNCTTTGAGTGCCGCCTCGTCGCCGACCCACCGCCCACCGTTGACTGGCTCCAAGGGAGGACGCCCATTAAAGCCGACGGCAGCAGCCCTCGGCACCAGTGTTCAGTGAGCACCGACAAGCACAACCACCTCGCCACTCTCACCCTCCTCGACGTCGTCGCCGCCGACGCCGGCCTCTACACCGCCCTCGCGCGCAACCGACACGGCGAGGCGCAGGCGACCATAGAGCTCAACTTTGACGAGGGACGACCGGCGGTGCCCGACGCCATGGCGCCCCGCTTCCCCAAAAAGCCCACCATCCGCCAGAAGGGCAACGTCCTCGTGCTGGAGTGCCTCCTCGAGGCCAATCCCTACCCGGAGATCACCTGGTACCACGGGACGAAGGTCATCACCGAGAGTGCCCGCCACAAGCAGACGCGCCAGGAGACCGGCCCCAACCAGTACCTGCTGGGGCTGGAGATTCACGGGCCGACAATTGAGGATGGCGGCACCTATCGCTGCAATGCCCTCAACGAGAAGGGCGAATCGAATGCCAATATTGCGCTCAACTTTCAGAGTAAGTTGCGGAGCTTTAGTTTGTAAGTTTTTTACCCCAATTTTTTTTCCTTTTACCATCTCTTTAGGCGGCGACGAAGACGACAATGCGCCCTCCTTCATCGGCAAGCCGCGAATCGTGCCCGCGGAGACGGCCATCACGCTGGAGTGCCGCGTCAAGTCGAAGACCGCCATCACCGCCACCTGGTCGAAGGGCGGCACCACCATACGCGAGTCAGGTCGCCACCAGCTGACCATCGTCAAGGAGAAGGCCGAGGAGTACTACGTGACGCTGGTCATCAAGAACCCGTCGGCCGCCGACGGCGGCTCCTACAAGGGCCTGATTAAGAATGAGGCCGGCGAGATCACCGCCAACCTCAGCCTGAACATCGAGGGCGAGGCGGAGGAGGAGGACGGCTCGATTGCGCCCACCTTCCTCGCCAAGCCGAGCATCACCGCCGACGAGGACGGGCAGCACATTCTGATGGAGGTTCGGTGCCGTGCCAAGCCGAAACCGACCATCACCTGGTTCCACGAGGGCGAGCTGGTGCGCACCGGCGGCCGCATCCGGCAAACCATCATCGAGGAGAAGGGCGACGTCTATGTGATCCGCCTGGAGATCACCGGCGGCGACAGCCCCGACTCAGGCCTCTACAAGTGCAACGTGAAGAACTCGGCGGGCGAGTCCAATGCCAACCTGACGCTGAACATTGAAATTGTCCCGGTCATCAGCCAGCGCCCGCGCCTCGTCCGCCTGGAGCGCCAGCGGAAGATTGTGATTGAGTGCGCCGTGAAGAGCAGTAATGCGCCCAAGGTCACTTGGATCCGCGAGTCGACGACGGTCCGGGAGGACAGCCGTCACCGGCAGATTGTGAAGGAGGAGCGCAAGGGCGAGTACATGATCCAGCTGGAGATTGAGGAGCCGACGGAGGGCGACAAGGGCGCCTACAAGATGAGGGCCGTCAATGAGAAGGGCGAGGTCACCTCGGAGGTGATTCGCCTCACGGAGATCTTCGAGGATGAGGAGAAGAAGGAGGAAGAGGAGAAACAGGCGGCGAAGAAGAAGAAGACCGTCAGCGCGCCGAAGATCCTGCAGGAGCTGCGCTCAGAGGTAAGTGGGACTTGGGGTTTGGTACAATTTTAAATAATAGTTTAACTTTTTCCCCTTTCTTTTTTAGAAATGCGAAATGAACGAGACGATCGAGTTCATCGTCCGCTACGAGTCCGAGGAGGAGGTGACCGTCATCTGGTACTGCAACCGCCGCCAGGTGCGCCAGTCCTCCGCCTACGCCCTCCACTCGGACCGCCGCATGGCCCGCCTCACCGTGAACCGCGTGCAGATGGAGCACGCCGGCGAGTACACCGTCGAGGTGGTCAACTCGGCCGGAAAGACGGTCTCCACCGGAAAGCTCACCGTCGTCCGAAAGGAAGTCGAAGAGGACGACGAGGAGGAGGAGCAGCAGGAGAAGGCGGAGAAGAAGGCGGAGAAGAAGAAGCAGAAGAAGGAGGAGGTCGTAGAGGACGTGGAGATGGAGGACGTTTCCGAGGAGGTATTTTTGGAGTGTATTTGGTAGTTTAGATTTGATTAATTTCTTTATTTTGGTTATCTAGGTCAAAAAGGCCACCGAGGAGCCGCAGAAGCGAAAGCTCTCCGTGAAGAAGAAGGACCCCGTGCCGGAGAAGCAGCAGAAGAAGGAGAAGGAGGGGGAAGTGCCTGCCCCCGCCCCCTCGAAGAAGCTTTCGGTGAAGAAGAAGCCAGCCGCTGCTGCCGAAGCTCCTGCTCCTGCTGAGCCTGCTGCCGCTGCCGCTCCCGAGGAGAAGGCCCCAGCAGCAGCCCCCACCAAGAAGCTGTCCGTCAAGAAGAAAGAGGTAACCGCAGAGAAAGCAGCAGCAGTAGTAGTGCCACCACCCTCTGCCACCCGAGCTGGTCTAGTAGCCAGCAGCCCTTCAGAAAGCCCTGAGAAAGCCCTAAAGCCCACCACCTCCACCTCCACCATCCCTGTCGTTAATGTTGAACCCGAAAGTCCCGAAGGTTCCAAATCCCAGGAGCCCTCTAAAACTACTACCTCCACCTCCTCCACTACCAAACCTTCTCCTAGTTCTAGCACTCCTAGTTCGAAATCTCCTCTTAGTCCTAGCAGCAGCAGCAGTAGTGTTGCCACTTCCAACCTGAATCCTGATCCTGAACCTGAACCTAAATTTGAATCCACACCCAAGTCTAATCCTAAATTTAATCCTGAAACCTCACCCAAAACTAATCCTAATCCAAATGCTCCTGAGCCCAAATCTGAAAACCCGTCCTCAGCAGCACTACCACCACCTCCCAAGCGATCCGGTAGCTCTAAAAAGTCCTCCAAACCTAGAACCTCCGCCTCCTCCCAAAACCTGTTGTCTGTTGAGCCCATGGAAGTAACTACCACTACCACCACCACTCCCACCCATGAACCCTCCTCCTCAACCTCGGTAGAAACCTTAACCAGTAGTACTACGAGCACCTCCACCCCTCTTCAGCCGCCACCACCCTCCCTTAGAGACCGTCGACCCTCCATCAAGGACCGCTATCCCTTTGACAAGGCGCTGGACACGGCCCCTCCCAACCAGCGCTTCCGCCGACCGGCCAGCTCGGAGTCCAGCTCACTCGCTTCGACTCCTCGAGGCTCCATCTCGGGCGAGTCGGGCGGCACCGGTCCCCCTAGTTTAGCGCCTCCCAAGCTGCCCGCTGATCTGCCCAAGCCGAAGCGGTCCTCGGTCATTACGATGCACCCTAGAGAGGATGCCCCCAAATCAGTACCCTCCACCACCACCACCACCTCCTCACCAACACTCATCTCCACCTCCTCCTCTTCCCATGCCGTCCTCCTCCCACCCACCATGACCTCGGTTTTGCCACCCAGTCCTAAACGTTCTTCGTCTCTTTCCTCAAAGGAACCGGCGAAGCCTCCTGCAGAGGAGGCGGCTCCAGCTCCAGCTGCTGCCGCTGAACCGGTAAAGCGCCGCCTGTCGATCAAGAAGAAGACGCCCGGAACTGGGCCTAGCCCGACGTCGACGCCCGGCTCGACGGCGCCCAGCTCGCCCACCAGCACCACCGCACCGGTAAGCTTTGAAGAGTCGACGGTGGCGAAGAAGCGCCTCTCCATCAAGAAGCCGCCGGCGTCGATTCCCGAGGAGCCGCAGCCGCCGCTGGGCGCCACGCCCAAGTCGAGCCTGGCGGCACCAGCGCCGGCGGCCCCGGCCAAGCCAGGCGCCCCAGCCTCTCCAGCTCCGGCCGAAGCCAACACGGTAACTAGTGACACTAAGGTAGAGGTAGAAACGGGTAAGAAGCGCATTTCAGTGAAGAAGAAGACGGCAGCGGCACCTACAGCTGCTGCTTCCGCCAATGGAGAGCTGAGCGCCGAGGAGGCCACCACCTCTAAGACCTCCTCCATCAAGGGCCAGCCACGCACGCAACGGGTGCCCTCCATCGAGGTGAGCAGCGGGGACGCCCCCAAGATTGAGGTGCCTCAAACCACCACTCAGCAGCAGAAGGCGGCGCCCTCGAAGCAGCAGACCACCCAGCCGCCGCCCACCCTCCTGGCCGACAGTAAGCCGATCGTAGTGATAGAGCCGGCCGAATCGGCTAGTCCTGCTCCTAGTAGTCCTAGCGGCTCTAGACGACCTAGCATTAGCTCAGACACCGCCAGTGCTAGTGCAGCTGCTGCAGACGACAGACGCGATAGCATCTCCGACGGCCCGCCACCCGGTTTCAGCCGCAGTGGATCACGACGACCTTCGATTATTATCGTTGCAGATGAGAAGGGCCTGGCGGTGGACGAAAGTGGGCAGACGAAGAAGCTTCGACCTGGTGAGATGCTGGAGGTGAGGCGCGGGAGCACCCGCCGCGGCAGCACCAGCATCGACATGCGCAAGGCCTCGGTGATGGAGATTGACCGCGCGGATAAGCCCTCGACGCCGCTGCGGGAGCTCGGAGAGGTCGGCCCGCCCGTTATCACCGACTTTGTGGAGAACGTCTCGGCGGTCGATGGGAAGACGGCCTTCATTCAGGCCACCGTCGAGGGGAAACCGATTGCCGGCTTCAAGTACTTCAAGGACGGCAATGAGATCTTTGAGGGTGGCCGGTACAAGGTGGTGACCGACGGCGAGACGAACACGGTGTACTTCTGTATTCGCAAGGCGAAGCCCAACGATGAGGGCAAGTACAAGATTGTGGCGTGGAACGAGCACGGCGAGGATAGCTGCAATATTAAGCTCTTTGTTTCGGGTAAGTGTTTTGGGGTTTTGATTTGAGGTGTTTTAGTTTTTAAAACTTTGTTTTCTGCAGACGAAAGCGGCATGGACTTTCGCGCCATGCTCAAGTCGAAGCAGTACGCCAAGTGGGGCAAGGAGAAGGACGACCCCGACTGGGGCAATCTGAAGGCCACCGAGGATGAGCGCCGGGCGTCGCTGCGCGACATGAAGGTACGTACTTCTTTGCTTGGTTTGTTTTGTTTTTACCCGTGTGTTTTGCAACCTGTGTTTAATTTAATTTGGTTTGATTTGGTTTGATTTACTAACACCTGGTGTGTGTGTGTTTTACTACTGCTAACGAGTGTGTGAATCCGTAACCTTAAATTCCTTAAATTCTTTACTTCCTTGCCACCATTACTACCACTTTGCACTACTAACCTCTCAACTTTGCAAACATACTCTTCAACTTATTCAACTTCTTCGTCATCTTAGTCTGATGGAGAGGAGGATATGCTGGACCTGGCGGCGGAGGGCGCCGGTGAGCGTCGCAAGTCGGCCCTGCCGCCGAAAGACCAGTCCCTCGCCAAGCTCATTCCCGACTGGCCGACGCTGCAGGCGGTCAAGCGAAAGCGACAGGTTTGATTTCTTTGATTCAGTTGTGTTGTTGTACAGGCGCAATCCTCCTCTTCCTCCTCCTCCTCATCCATCGAACTCAGAAAAAGAAAAGAAATCCATCGTAATGAACTTCTTGAGGCCTGCGTTGTTTTCTCTTTCTTCTCTTCTATCTTTTTTGTTTTCTCTCTTTCTCGATTTTGTTTTGTTTGCTGCTTCTTTATTTTCTTTTTTGGTTTTCATTTAATTCTTTGATTTTACTTTTTTGGTGCGCTTCTCTGACCTTAACCTTATTATTACTGATTACTGACTAACACTCACTAACCCAATAAATAACTTTTGCTTCTATCTACCATTAATATTCTCTCTAACGTTCGCTTCCCTTTCAACTAATCGCTGACTACCCTTTTCCCCGCCCTTTTTTAATTTTCCACCACCACCACCACCAAAAACCCTACAGAAACCAGACATGTTCATCAAGCCGCTGGAGGACACCCGAGTGAAGGAGGGCCGCGACAAGATGGCCCGCTTCGAGTGCGTCTTCAGCAAGTCGGGCATCAAGGCGAAGTGGTTCAAGGGCCGCCAGGAGCTGTTCATGGGCAAGAAGTTCAACATGACCAGCACTGGGGACCTGCACGTGCTGGAGATTCGCGACCCGCGCGTCGACGACCAGGGCCAGTACAAGTGCACCTGTCTGGACAAGAGCACCAACGCCCAGCTCGATGTGGAGTACCCCGACCCGGTCTTCAAGTTCACCAAGCCGCTGCAGAAGAAGTACGAGCAGTACACCGGCAAGGAGCTGGTCCTCGAGTGCAGCACCAACCACTCCAAGGCGCAGGTGAAGTGGTTCAAGGGCGAAACGAGTGTCGACTCGATGAACGACAGCCGCCTCTTCGTGGAGCGGGACACCTTCGGAAAGCACTTCCTCAAGATCCGGCCCTGTCGGGTGGAGGACACCGATGACTTTAGCTGCAAGATTGTCGGCACGGAGGAGGTGACCCGAACGAAGGTGGTCACCACCGACCGGCAGTTTATCTTTGTGAAGCCGCTGATGAGTCAGAAGTGCACGGAGAATGATACCATTACGCTGGAGTGCGAGGTGGACGACCGCGACGCCGATGTGACCTGGTGGAAGGACGGCAAGGAGGTGAAGCCGGAGAAGAAGAAGATTGAGCTGGTGGCGGAGGGGCGGAAGCGGAAGATGATCATCAAGAAGGGCAAGGTGAGCGATGAGGCCACTTATGAGTGCAAGACCAACGGCGACGTGACGGCGGCGGAGATTCTCGTTGAGCGTAAGTATTTTGATGGTTTTTGGGGGTGAAAGTGGGTACAAATTTTCTCCCTTTTACCAGCGGCCAACAAGTTCCGCAAGAAGCTGCAGGACAAGACGGTGATTGAGCGCGAGGAGATCGTCCTCGAGCTGGAGATGCTGGAGAAGCGAGCGCCGCTGCAGTGGTTCAAGAATGGGCAGCCCATTTACGGTGATCATCGGTAAGTGATTGCCGAAAGTGATTTTTTTATGATCAGTTTTAACGACTTTTTACCTTTTCTTCCTCCTCAGTCTGCAGATCAAGTACGACGAGACCACCGGCAAGCAGTCGCTGATCATCCCCTGCTCGGAGATGGGCGACGCCGGCGAGTACATGGCCAAGGCGAAGGACTGCAAGACCAGCTGCAAGGTGGTGGTGAAGGAGGGCGAGCGCAAGCCGGAGCTGAATCCCTCCGACACCGACTTCCAGGGCAACGTCGGCCAGCCGCTCACCATTGAGATTCCCTACAAGAGTAAGTGATCGGGGTTTTTATTTTAGAAACTTTTACTAAAACTTTCCCTCCAAAACAGTTCAGGGCACCCGCACCTCTGACGCCATCCCAAAGCTAACGCGCAACGGCGTGCCCATCTCCCCCAAGGACGTCGAGGTGATCGTCAAGGAGGACAAGATCGTCCTCATCTTCAAGAAGCCCCAGCGCGAGGACAGCGGCAAGTACGACTTCAGCCTGACGAACAGCCAGGGCGAGGCGAAGGTCCCGCTGAACATCAACTTCGTCGGCCCGCCGTCACCCCCGGAAGGACCGCTCGAGGTGACTGACCTCTACCGCGACCGCTGCCGCCTCGCCTGGAAGCCGCCCAAGGACATGGGCGGCCTCCCACTGCTTCACTACGTCGTCGAGCGGCAGGACATTGGCATGCGCGGCGGCTGGACGGAGGTGGGCACCACCGAGGAGTGCCGCATCAACGTCACTGACCTCGCCCACAAGAAGGAGTACAAGTTCAGGGTGCGGGCGGTGAACAAGAAGGGCGCCAGTGAGCCGCTCAACTCGGCGAAGAACATCCTCGCGAAGGACCCCTACGACGAGCCGGGCAAGGTGACCGACGTGGAGCTGATTGACTGGGACAAGGCCCACGTGGCGCTCAAGTGGAAGGCGCCGGAGAAGGACGGCGGGGCGCCGATTGAAAAGTACGTCATCGAGATGAAGGACAAGTTCGCCTCGGAGTGGACCACCGCCACCGAGGTGGGTGGGGACGTGCTGAAGGGCAAGGTCACCGTGCCGACCATTAAAGAAGGCGGACAGTACCAGTTTCGGGTGCGGGCGCTGAACAAGGCCGGCCCGGGTGAGCCCAGTGACCCCACCAAGTCGGTCATCATCAAGGACCGTTTTGTGAAGCCCTTCATCCTCGGCGACGGGCTGAAGAACCTGGTGGTGAAGAAGGGCGCCATGATCAAGTTTGACATTAACTTTGGCGGCGAGCCGCCGCCCGAGGTGAAGTGGGACCTGAATGGAACGGAGATTAAGCCCAGCACCAAGGTGTCCATCGACTCGAACGACAAGAACTCGGTGATTGTGGTGAAGAATGCGGTGCGGGCAGACTCGGGAAAGATGACGCTGACGCTGACAAACAGCTCGGGCACGGTGAGCAGCACGGCGGATGTGATTGTGCTGGACAAGCCGACGCCGCCGCAGGGCCCGCTCGAGGTGGAGAACGTCCACGCGGAGCACGCGACGCTGAAGTGGAAGAAGCCGAAGGATGATGGTGGCAGTGACCTGCGGGGATACCTGGTGGAGAAGATGGACGTCGACTCGGGTCGGTGGATCCCCGTGGCGGAAGTGGGCCCCAATCAGAATGAGTTCAAGTGTGAGGGCCTGACGAAGGGGAAGAAGTACAAGTTCAGGGTGAAGGCGGTCAATAAGGAGGGCGAGTCGGATCCGCTGGAGACGAGGGACGCCATTCTGGCGAAGAATCCTTATGGTAAGTGGATCTTTTTGTTTGATTGTGGGATTTTCTAATTTTTAATTTTTTCGTTCAGACGAGCCCGGCAAGCCCTCCAAGCCGCAGATTGTCGACTACGACAACACCAAGGTGGACCTGAAGTGGGAACCGCCCAAATCAGACGGCGGCCGCCCCATTCTCAAGTACATCGTCGAGATGAAGGACAAAAACGCCCAGGACTGGAAGGAGGTGGTGACGACGGAGGGGCCCACCCCTGAGGCTACCGTACCTCGCCTGAAGGAGAACTCCACCGTACAGTTTCGCGTTCGTGCGGTGAACAAGGCCGGTCCTGGTGAGCACTCTGACCCGACCGATCCTCATCTGGTGAAGCACCGCAACCTGAAGCCGTACATTGACCGCACCAACCTGAAGAACATCTGCATCAAGGCGGGTCGCAATCACAAGTACGAGGTGGACGTCAAAGGCGAACCGGCGCCGGAGATCGTCTGGACCTTCAAAGGCGGCGCGGAGAAGGTGGTGGACAATGACGTGATCAAGATCACCAACAAGGACTACCACACTGACCTCAGTTTCACCAAGGCCACGCGGAAACAGGCCGGTCGCTATACGATCACCGCCACCAACCGCAACGGCTCCGACACGGTGACGGTCGAGTTGAACGTCCTCGCGGCGCCGGCCAAACCGGAAGGACCGCTGGACGTGTCGAATGTCTCCGCTGAGGGCTGCCACCTCGCCTGGAAGAAGCCTCTGGACGATGGAGGCGTTCCCCTGAAGCACTACGAGGTGGAGAAATTTGACAAGGAGACGGGCCGGTGGACTCGGGTGGGCAAGACCGACAAGCCGGAACTCGATGTCACCGGCCTCATTACCGGCCACGAGTACCTCTTCCGCGTGACGGCCATCAACGAGGAGGGCGACTCTGAGCCGCTGGTGACGCTGCAGGGCACCGTCGCCCGAAATCCCTACGATGAGCCGGGAAAGCCCGGCACGCCGGAGATTGTCGACTACGACAACGTCTCGGTGGACCTGAAGTGGACGGCGCCCACCAAGGACGGCGGCGCGCCCATTCAGAAGTACATCATCGAGAAGAAGGAGAAGAACGCGCTGATGTGGGAGAAGGCCACCGAGGTGCCCGGCAACGTCCTCGAGGGCAAGGTGGAGAACCTGGTGGAGCGGGCGGAGGTGCAGTTCCGCGTCGTGGCCGTCAACAAGGCCGGACCGGGCGAACCGTCGGACGCCACAAAAATGCACGTCGTCAAGTTCCGCCGCCTGAAGCCGTACATTGACCGCAACGACCTGGAGCTGCAGACGGTGAAGCGCGGGAAGAACCTGAAGTTGGAGGTGCACGTCCGGGGAGAGCCGCCGCCGAAGATCACCTGGAAGCTCGGGGATAAGGTGATTGTCAACGATGCGCACGTTGTGCTGGACAATCCCGACTACCTGACGAAGATTGCCATCAACGACGCGCAGCGGATCCACACTGGAAAGTACACGATCATTGCAGAGAACGAGGTTGGACGGGATGAGGCGGAGGTGGAGTTTTGCGTCCTGGCCGCGCCCAGTCGACCCAAAGGACCGCTTAAGGTGGAGAACCTGACCGCCAAGGGCTGCGAGCTGAAGTGGGGCAAGCCTGAGGATGACGGCGGAAAGCCCATTAAGGGCTACGTCGTCGAGAAGCTCGATCCCCACACCGGACAGTGGGTGCCGATTGGCAAGGCGGACAAGGACGCCACCGCCTTCGAGGTGACCGGCCTGCAGAAGGGCAAGCAGTACAAGTTCCGCGTCAAGGCGGTCAATGACGAGGGCGAGTCGGAGCCACTGGTCACCGAGCAGATCACCGCCAAGGACCCGTACGAGCTGGCGGACAAGCCCGGTAAGCCGGCGATTGTCGACTGGGACGAGAAGCGGGTCGACCTGAAGTGGGCCCCTCCAAGGGACGACGGCGGAGCGCCCATTACCGGCTACGTGATTGAGAAGAAGGACAAGGGCAGCAACAACTGGGTGCCCGTTCTGGAGACGCACTCCTCCAAGCCGGAGGCGACTGTGGAGGGCCTGGAGAAGGGCTCGCAGGTGCAGTTTCGCGTGCGGGCGGTCAACAAGGCCGGCCCCAGCGAGCCGTCCGATGCGACGGAGATGCACACCGTCAAGGAGCGAAACCTGAAGCCGCACATTAACCGAGAGACGCTGAAGCCGATTACCATCAAGGCAGGTGGGCTGGCGAAGTTGGACGTGGAGATCAGCGGCGAGCCGCCGCCGGCCATCACCTGGACCTTTGAGGGGAAGAAGCTGTTTGATGACGCGAACACGAAGATCGACAACCCCGACTACGAGTCGCACGTGCAGATCAAGCACATGACGCGGGCGCAGTCGGGCAAGTACAAGATTGCCGCGGAGAATGAGAATGGCAAGGACGAGGCGGAGGTGGACATTATCGTGCTGGATCGACCCGCCAAACCGGAGGGGCCGCTGGAGGTGTCCGACGTCCATGCCGACCACTGCAACCTCAGCTGGCGACCGCCTAAGGATGACGGTGGTGTGCCGATTGAATCGTATGTGGTGGAGAAGAAGGACTCGGCGACGGGACGGTAGGTGTTATTGTTGGGACGGATTTTTATAAATGAAATTGACCTTTTTAATCCTTTTTAGATGGGTCCCCTGCGCCAAGGTGGGCCCCGAGGCGACCGAGGTGGAGGTGACCGGCCTTGATGCGGGCAAGAAGTACGAGTTCCGCGTGAAGGCCGTCAACCCTGAGGGCGAGTCCGATTACCTCGACACGGACAAGTCGACGCTGGCGAAGAATCCCTACGAGGCGCCCGGCCAGCCGGGCATGCCCACCATCGAGGACTACGACCGCGACTGGGCGGAGCTGAAGTGGGAGCCACCGATCAGAGATGGCGGCGCGCCCATCGAGGGCTACATCATCGAGAAGAAGGACAAGTACAGTCCAAATTGGGTGCAGGCCGCCGAGGTGTCGGGGCCCGTCTGCCAGGGCAAGGTGAAGGGCCTGCACGAGGGCGACAAGTACGAGTTCAGGGTGAGGGCAGTGAACAAGGCCGGCCCTGGTGCGCCCTCCGATTCAGTTGGGCCCCACCTCGCCAAGCCCCGATTCCTCGCTCCTAAAATCGACCGCACCAATCTGGTGGCCGTGACCGTCAAGGTGGGGCAGATGGTCTTCTTTGATGTCAATGTCATTGGCGAGCCGCCGCCGAAGACCACCTGGAAGCTGAACGATGGCCCCGAGCTGACCACCGACGAGACGTACAGCATAGCCGATGTCGACTACAACACCAAGTTCACGCTGAACCGAGCCACCCGCAAGACCCGAGGCGTGTACACCATCACCGCGACCAACTCCAGCGGCACCGACGAGGCCACCGTGGAAATTAAGGTCCTCGGAAAGCCCTCGAAACCGAAGGGCCCGCTGGACGTCTCCGATGTCCACAAGGACGGCTGCACGCTGAAGTGGAAGCCACCCGAAGACGACGGCGGCTGCCCCATTGAGTGCTACGAGGTGGAGAAGATGGACGAGGAAACTGGTCGCTGGGTGCCTTGTGGCAAGACCAAAGGTGGCGATGACACTAAATTCGACGTCACCAATCTGGTGCCCGGAAAGAAGTACAAGTTCCGCGTGCGGGCCGTCAACAAGGAGGGCGACTCGGAGGAGCTGGAGACGGAGACGGGCACGGTGGCGAAGAACCCCTTTGATGAGCCGGACAAGCCCGGTCGCCCTGAGCCGACTGACTGGGACAAGGACCACGTCGACCTCACCTGGGCCCCGCCTGCAAATGACGGCGGCGCCCCCATTACCGGGTACATCATTGAGAAGCGGAAGAAGGGCACGCACAAGTGGGCCAAGGCGAAGGAGCTGAAGACGCCGGACACCTCGGCTACCGTACCCGACCTGGAGGAAGGTGAGGAGTACGAGTTCCGCGTCATTGCCGTGAACAAAGCGGGCCCCAGCGAGCCCAGCGACGCCAGTCGCTCGGTGATCGCCAAGCCTCGCCGCCTGGCCCCAAAGATTGACCGCACCAACCTGAAGGCGGTCAAAATTCGCGCCGGCCAGCCGGTCAAGTTTGACGTTGACGTGAAGGGCGAGCCGGAGCCGACCATCGAGTGGAGCGTCGGCGAGGGGAAGAAGCTGACCTCTGATGATCACACCAAAATCGAGAACACCCCCTACCACACGCAGTTTATGCTAGTGAACTCGGTGCGGGCCGACTCCGGGGAGTACCGCATCTTTGCGCGGAACGAGCACGGCACCGACGAAGCGACCGTTACCATCCTGGTCACCTCAAAGCCTACGAAGCCGAAGGGACCGCTTGCAGTGTCCGACGTCCACGCCGAGGGCTGCAAGCTGAAGTGGGACAAGCCCGAGGACGACGGCGGAGAACCGATCACCGGGTACCTCGTGGAGAAGATGGACGAGGAGTCGGGTCGGTGGGTGCCGGTCACCACCAGCCGCGAGCCGGAGGCGGACGTCGGCGGCCTCATTCCCGGCAAGTCGTACAAGTTCCGCGTGAAGGCGATCAACGCCGAGGGCGAGTCGGAGCCGCTGGAGACGGAGAAGGCAACGCTGGCGAAGAACCCCTTCACCGAGCCAGACAAGCCCGGACGGCCCAATGTGGAGGACTGGGATCGGAATCGGGTGGACCTCAGCTGGGCGGCGCCGTCGGAGGATGGAGGCGCCCCCATTACCGGGTACATCATTGAGAAGAAGGAGAAGGGCGCCGCAAAGTGGGTGAAGGCCGCCGAGGTCTTTGGCCCGGAGACGGAGGCCCGCGTCATGGACCTGATTGAGGGGCAGGAGTACCAGTTCCGCGTGAAGGCAGTGAACAAAGCGGGTCCCAGCGCGCCCTCTGAGCCTTCCAGCTCGGTGGTGACCAAACCACGAAATCTTCATCCGAAAATCGAACACCTACGAGATATCACAGTTCACGCCGGCCAACCGGTGAAGCTCGATGCGAAGGTGATTGGCGAGCCGCCGCCGCGAACCGTATGGTACCTGACCACCGAGCCGGAGAAGGAGCTCAAGTCAGGTGATCATCTGAAAATTGAAAACGAGCCCTACCACTCGCGGCTGAGCATTCCCAGCTCGAAACGGGCTGACACTGGCCTCTACAAGCTGGTGGCCAGCAACCAGTCGGGCAGTGATGAGGTGGAGGTGAAGGTGACGGTGTTGGATGTTCCAGGAACGCCTGAAGGTCCTCTGGACGTCAGTGACGTCCACGCTGAAGGCTGTAAGCTAGCGTGGAAGCCGCCCAAGGATGACGGTGGCGTTCCCATTGAGGCGTACGTCGTCGAGAAGCAAGACCAGGCGACGGGACGGTAAGTGACTTTAACTTGTTGGGAAGTTTTGTGGACTTTTAATACCTCTTTTTCCCCTCTTCTGCAGATGGGTCCCCGTGACGCAGACCACCAACCCCGAGTGCACTGTCACCAACCTGGAGCCGGGCAAGCAGTACAAGTTCCGCGTGAAGGCGGTCAATGCCGAGGGCGAATCCTCTCCTCTTGAATCAGCCGAGCCGATAGTGGCGAAGAATCCCTACGACGCCCCAGGCGCCCCGGGCACGCCCGAAGTGGTCGACTACGATAAGAACCACGTCGACCTGAAGTGGGAGCCACCGGCCAAGGACGGCGGCGCCCCCATCCAGCAGTACATCATCGAGAAGAAGGAGAAGGGCAGCGACAAGTGGACCAAGGCGGCCGTCGTTCCGGGTGATGAGACGAAGGCCCGCGTGCCTGACCTGGAGACCGGTCAGTCCTATCAGTTCCGCGTCCGCGCGCAGAACAAGGCCGGCCCCGGGGAGCCCTCCGACCCGAGCAAGATGTGCCTGGTGAAGCACAAGAAGCTGCCACCAAAGATTGACCGAAAGAACCTGCGACCGATTAAGATCAAAGTGGGCGAGGCGTTCAGCTTCGATGTGAATGTGATTGGCGAGCCGCCGCCGGATGTGGTGTGGAAGCTGAAGGACCGCACCGTCGTCGATAAGCCGACGCTGACCATCACCAATAAGCCGTACAACACCAAGCTGGACTGCGAGAAGGCGGAGCGGAAGGACAGCGGCACCTATCACATTGTGGCGACGAACAAGTGGGGCGAAGATGTGGCCGATGTGGAGGTGAAGGTCGTCGGAAAGCCGGCCAAGCCGGAGGGACCACTGGACGTGGAGGACGTCCACAAGGACGGCTGTACGTTGAAGTGGAACAAACCGCTGGATGACGGTGGTGAACCGTTGGAAGGCTATCTGGTGGAGAAGTTGGACCCGGACACTGGAAGCTGGGTCCCCGTTGGCAGGACGCCCATTCCTGAGATGGCTGTGACGGGGCTGACCCCGGGCAAGTACTACCAGTTCAGGGTGAAGGCGGTCAACAAGGAGGGCGAGTCGGAGCCGCTGGAGACGCTGTCGCCGACGCTGGCCAAGGACCCCTATGAGACGCCGGGCCAGCCCGGTAGACCCGAGGCCGTCGACTGGAACAAGGACCACGTTGACCTGAAGTGGGATGCGCCCATTTTGGACGGTGGCGCGCCCATCACCTCGTACATTATTGAGAAGAAGGAGAAGGGCAGCCCACGCGGTTGGGAGAAGGCCGCCGAGGTGCCCGGTGACCAGACGAAGGGCACCGCGCCCTACCTGGAGGAGGGCAAGGAGTACGAGTTTCGGGTGGTGGCGGTGAACAAGGCCGGGCCGGGTGAGCCGAGCGACGCGTCCAAGTCCATTGTGGCTAAACCCAGATTCCGTGAGTGTGGTTTGCTGTTTGTTTGATTTTTATGTAAAAATAACATTTCATTTCTTTTTTCAGTGGCGCCACGCATCGACCGCAACGCCTTCAAGGACCTCACCATCAAGGCCGGCCAGAAGGTGATGTACGACGTGCCGGTGGCCGGTGAGCCGCCCCCGGAGATCACCTGGACCATCAACGGGCGGGTGATGCCCGCCGAGGGCGACTCACACGCCAAGATTGAGACGGAGGACTACAACACGAAGTTGGCCGCCCGAAACGCCACCCGCGCCGACTCGGGCGCCTACACCATCACAGCGATCAACTCCAGCGGCCGGGACACTGTCACCGTTCAGGTGCTGGTCACCGACAAACCGTCCCCGCCCAAGGGTCCACTCGATGTATCGGACGTCCACAAGGAGGGCTGCAAGCTGAAGTGGGAGAAACCGGAGGATGATGGAGGTCTTCCGCTTGAGGGCTACCTCGTGGAGAAGATGGACACTGACAGTGGCCTGTGGGTGCCGGTGGGCAAGGCCAAGGGAACCAGTATGGAAGTGGGCGGCCTGGTGCCCGGAAAGGAGTACAAGTTCCGCGTCAGTGCGGTCAATAAGGAGGGCGAGTCGGAGCCGCTGGAGACGCTGAAGCCGATTGTGGCGAAGAATCCGTTTGGTAGGTGCCTTATTACGTTGTTTTTATTTGACCTACCTAAAGCTTTGTATTTTTTAGACGAACCCGGAAAGCCGGGCAAGCCGAAGGCCGTCGACTGGGACAAGGACCACGTCGACCTGGAGTGGGAGAAGCCAAAGGAGGACGGCGGCGCCCCGATCACCGGCTACATCGTCGAGAAGAAGGACAAGTACGGCGAGTGGGAGAAGGCGGCGGAGGTGGTCGGCGACCAGTGCCAGGCCACCGTGCCGAAGCTGATCGAGGGCCAGGCCTACGAGTTCCGCGTTCGAGCGGTGAACAAGGCCGGTCCTGGTGAGCCCTCAGATGCCTCTGATACCGTCATTGCCAAGCCTCGACGCCTTCCACCAAAGATTGACCGCACCAACCTGGTGAAGATCAAGATCAAAGCGGGGCAGGCGTTCAGCTACGACGTGAACGTGGCGGGCGAGCCGCCGCCGGACGTCGAGTGGAAGCTGAAGGGCAGCCCCGTGAAGACGGGCGGCCACGTGAAGGTGGCCAACGAGCCGTACAACACTAAACTAAAAGTGACGCAGTCGACGCGGGCCAACTCGGGCATCTACACCATCAAGGCGACGAACAAGCACGGCGAGGATGAAGCGGAGGTGGAGGTGGTGGTCCTCGACCGGCCCTCGCCGCCTGGTGGCCCCCTCAAAGTGGAGGACGTGCACGCAGAGGGTGCCACGCTGAAGTGGCGCCCGCCCGACGATGACGGCGGCCTGCCCATTGACCACTACGTCGTCGAGAAGCTGGACCCGGTGACCGGAAACTGGGTCAAGGCGGCGGAGACTGTTGGGGCGGAGTGTGACGCCAAGCTCACAGGCCTGACGCCCGGTAAGAAGTACAAGTTCAGGGTGAAGGCAGTCAATCGGCAGGGCGACTCTGACCCGCTGACGAACGACAAGGAAATTCTGGCGAAGAACCCCTTTGAGGAGCCCGGAAAGCCGGGCACGCCCACCATTGCCGACTACGACGCGGAGTGGGTGCAGCTCGACTGGAAGCGCCCGGAGACGGACGGCGGCTCCCCGATTACCGGCTATGTCATTGAGAAGAAGGACAAGTACAGCCCCGACTGGACGCAGTGTGCCGAGGTGGAGGGTNGCGGAGTGGGTGCAGCTCGACTGGAAGCGCCCGGAGACGGACGGCGGCTCGCCGATTACCGGGTACGTCATTGAGAAGAAGGACAAGTACAGCCCCGACTGGACGCAGTGCGCCGAGGTGGAGGGCGACGTCACTTCGGGCAAGGTGAAGGACCTCATCGAAGGGAACGTTTACGAGTTCCGCGTGAGGGCGGTCAATAAGGGCGGTCAGGGAGTGCCCAGTGACTCCACCGGGACGCACCTGGCGCGGCCAAAGAACTCCCCACCGAAGATTGACCGCTCCTACATGCGCGACATTCGCGTCAAGGCCGGCCAGAAGGTGGAGCTGGACGTGCCCGTTTCCGGTGAGCCCCCACCGACTAAAAAGTGGTCCGTGGACGGCACCCCAGCGCCGGTGGACCGCTGGACGATCACCACCGAGGACTACAAAACGCACCTGCTGATTAAGAGCGCCGAGAGAAAAGATAGCGGAAAGTTGGAGCTGACCGCCAGCAATGTCAATGGCACGGACAAGGCGACCATCAACCTGGTGGTGATGGACGTTCCCGGAGCACCGGAGTCGCTTCGAATCGCCGACATCACCAAAGACGGAGCGAAGGTGAGCTGGAATCCGCCAAAAGACGACGGAGGCTCTGAGATCTCCCACTACGTCGTGGAGAAGAAGGACCTGGAGACGGGACGATGGGTCCATGCGGCGGACGCCTTTAGCCCCTCGGTTCGTGTGGAGAAGCTCATTGAGGGCCATGAATATCAGTTCCGCGTGAAGGCGGTGAACAAAGAGGGCGACAGCCCGTACTGCACCGCCCGGGACAGTATCGTGGCAAAGAACCCCTTTGACACGGCCTCGAAGCCGGCGCCGCCGAAGGTGGTGGACTGGGATGCCGACCGCGTGGACCTGGAGTGGCGGCCGCCGAGGTCGGACGGCGGCGCCCCCATCACCGAGTACATCATCGAGAAGAAGCCGAAGAAGAGCGCCTTCTGGACGGAGGCTGTGAGAGTGCCGGCTCCCGGAAAAGGAGCACTGAAACCGGGGGCGGATGCCGACGCAGAGGGCTCCGCGAGGCTGGGCGGAAAGCCGGGCCCAGGAGCAGGAGGTCATGGTGGAGATGCCGCCCTGGGCGTCATTCGCGGCACTGTGCCCGACCTGCTGGAAGGGGAGGAGTACGAGTTCCGCATTGTGGCGGTGAACAAGGCCGGCCCCAGCGACCCCTCTGACCCCTCGGAGGCGGTTATCTGCCGACCACGGAAGGTCGCCCCGTCCATTGACGTGGACGCGATGAAGGACATCAAGGTGAGGGCTGGACGGCCGATCTCCTTCACAGTGCCCATCAAGGGCGAACCAGCGCCCACCGCCACCTGGTCGGTGAAGGGCACCATCGTTGCGCCGGGAGATAAGAGGATCGAGGTGGACTCCACCTCCACCACGGCCATCATCAACATCCCCTCGTCAGTGCGCGAGGACTCGGGCGTCTTTAAGCTGGTGCTGAAGAACCCCTACGGCGAGGTGTCCGCCTCCGCCAAGGTGACGGTCCTCGACCGACCAGGACCACCCGAAGGGCCGCTGGAGATCAGCGAGATCACCAAGGAGTCGGTGAAGCTGAAGTGGCGCCCACCGAAGGACGACGGCGGCTGCCCCATTAAGCACTACATCCTCGAGAAGATGGACGTCAGCAGGGGCAGTTGGACGGAGTGCGGCACCTCGGTGGACCTAACCTTTAAGGTGCCGAAGCTGGTGCACAAGAAGCAGTACCAGTTCCGCGTGGTGGCCGTCAATGAGATGGGCGACTCGGAGCCGCTGGAGAACGGCGAGACCATAACGGCGAAGAACCCCTTTGACGTGGCCGAGGCCCCTGGAAAGCCCAAGGTCGTCGACTGGGATGCGGATCACGTCGACCTGGAGTGGACGGCCCCATTGGACACCGGCGGCTCTCCCCTGACCGGCTACGTCGTCCAGAAGAAGGAGAAGGGCAGCCCCTACTGGACGAAGGGCGTCGCGGTGGCCGGAAACACCACCAAGGCCACCGTTCCTGACCTGCGCGAGGGCGTCGAGTACGAGTTCCGCGTGGTAGCGGTCAACAAGGCGGGCGACTCGGAGCCCTCGGAGCCCTCCGATGCGATCACCTGCCGACACCGAAACCTCGCCCCGAAGATCATCACCCCGCTGCGGGAGGTCCGCCTGAAGGCCGGCCAGAAGCTGGACGTGAAGATTGAGTTTGTGGGCGCGCCGCCGCCGGAGGTGAGCTGGATCAACAGCGCCACCGGAAAGGAAGTGGCCTCGGATGCGCTCCGGGTCACCGTCTCCAACGGCGACGGGCACACCATTCTGACGATTGTCGACGCGAAACGAGGCGACTCTGGCGACTACAAGCTGAAGCTCACAAACGTAAACGGCCAGTGCGAAGGCATCCTCCCGGTGGTTATAATGGACAAGCCATCGCCGCCGGAAGGGCCGCTGGAGGTACGGGCCGTGGACAAAGACAACGTGGAGCTCGGTTGGCGGCCGCCAAAGGACGACGGTGGCTGTCCGCTGA